TACGTACTGTAAAAAAATTTTTGACGGTGGACCTGAACTGGTGCCTACCTAGGGCCTTGGGTCAGAGCCACTCCTGAGAGTACCAACAGGCTATGACAGGCTTCATACCCTTGCTGCATTTTCACTCCTCCGACAAATGAGCATACAACGGCTCGGGATCGGGAGAACGGGTGGCTTCGTGCCACCCATTTTGCTTCCTTGCTTGACATGTTAGTTGTCTGACGGGGAATGCTTTCCTGTATGCTTTGTCTAATACAGGTGAACAGGCTGCTTCGGAGCATGTTTGTGTCTCCATGTCATGGGCTCATGGCAAGGTTGGCACGCACTTGGCAGAGTAAGTGACACTAGTCTATGAGTGGATTAGTGAAACTCCCACCTAAGCCAGCCGAAGCCACCAGACCGCCGCCTCCACCGCTTTCTACAGCCGGTTAAGGAAAAAGGAAAAGAGCCCGCAGCCCCACCCTCATACCCACAAGCCACTGAGAGCAGTTGCTTTTGGCCGGTGCGTTACAAAGTAATTTACCAGGCGGTTTGGGCTGTACAAGGACATGGGTACCTAAAGGAGATCTATGTATTTCAAGTGTAGTCCAAATAGTGACATATATGCAGCTGTCTATCTTGCTCTGATATAATTTTCTGTTGAAAAATAGGATAGTTAGTCTGAGAATGGTGATGATTCAGAAAAATACTCCTATATCCTTCCAGGTACCTAATATCTTTTGACCTCAAGAGAGGCTCCTTGGCCACGGTACTGAAGTATGATAAGTAATATTACAGGACTGAACCGCACTAGTAATAATCTAACCACGTTCAGACCCATCAGACCCATAGGGAACCACTGTAGATAGCCTCCCGTCTTCTGTCGTCTGTGTCCTAGAAAGGTATTGCCGTGGGAAATGCTCAATCAAAATGCATTCTGCTCATCATTATTATTGCGTTTCTCTCCCTTCTGATTGTACAATTGGATCTGGGTCCATCAATTTTATCCTCTCGACTCTCGAGGCTTCCTTTCCCCATCTTCCCTGCATTGTCCGAGTCCCGAGCAGACATCCCCCTCCATTGGAGTCCCCATATATAGATCTTGGGTTGCCCACTATTTTGCGCTGACATTGTTCTCTCCCTCAACTCCTGCAGTCTTCCTTCTCCCATCCTTCGGCCCTCTTCCCCCTATCCTCTTCCCCCTATCCTCTAATCCAGGTGATAGCTGATTCTTTACAGCTTCTCTCGGTTGACTCTTGCCCGCCTCAACCTATCGACCCCACATTTCCCTCAGGACTGTGGTTGTGTTGCCTTCTCAAGCTGTCAGATCCCATCCTGTGAGACGGTCTTTTCTAAGATTGTCGAGTCTCAGTGTCTATTCTTGTTTCATATATTACTCCTCTCATCCTACTGCGAATTTTTGCGCCTGTGACAAACGGCATCCTGGCCTTCAGCTGTACGGCGTAGCAGCAGCAGCAACAACAACAACAACCAGAATCTCAATCATATACCCTCAGCGCCATTCTCAGCCGAGAACCACAAATCATTGTCCCTTGCGACAGGCCTCGGACGATTTCGCCCCGAAGTAGAGCCCGTGGACGGATATCCTCGTGTTCGACAGCCATTGCGCCTCTTTTTGGCCCCGAGCAACAAACCGCTGAATCCGCCCCTCTTGGCCTTGCCCGTTTAACGAACAGAAATCGTGACCAATCAATTTCCCAATTGCGCCAATAACGGAGTCGAAGAGACAGTAGATCTAGCTCTGAGCGACAAGAAATCCGACCTCGAACCGGACCATTCCGTGCACACGGCAATCCCAATCGTCCCATAGTAGCATCGCCAGACCCTCCAGCCATCATGCCGTTGTTCAACCCGTTTCAGAAACACGACCACACAACTTTCCATGGCGTCGTCATTCCCCTCGCCGATGCCCCATCGCATGCGCGCCCAGAAAGCCCAGCCCTGGAAAAGAAGGGCAACCCAAAGGAGAAAACTGACGATTTCGGCCTTGACAAGGCTCCTTCTCAGGAGAACGGCTCTGCCGCTTCCATTCCCGAGTGCAGCCATCTGACCATTGAAGCTCTCCGTGCTGAGATCGAGTCTGATGTTGCTGCTTCGGGGCATGATTCCGCTTATGACCGTATGTCCTGTTGTCCACGAATATTGAGACTTGGATGCTTCTATTTTTCCAGTCCCTCGGCCCTTTATCTTCAAACGGAGTCTACTTTTTCAGCCTCAAGAATATCCGATCTAATGTTGTCGTGTTCTAGGCAAGTCAAAGGTCATTAACCGAGCAATCCAGGATATCGGCATGGGCCGTTATCAATGGGAATTGTTCGCTCTTTGTGGGTTCGGTTGGTTGGCAGACAAGTAAGTTAGACGCTCCCTTTTCTTAGTTTGACTGTTCGTCGCTAATCGTTCTTGCAGCCTTTGGCTACAGGTAAGAACGTTATCAATGCCAGTGCATAGAACCCCAGACACTGATCAGATTAGGGAGTTGCCCTTACATTAACCCCGGTCTCGTCTGAGTTTGGCATTTCTTCCACTCGGGTCCGTTTCACAACCTGCGCCTTGTTCGTAGGGCTTTGCCTGGGTGCATCCTTCTGGGGTGTCGCATCAGATATCATTGGACGTCGACCAGCCTTCAACATGACCCTCTTTATTTGTGGTGCTTTTGGTTTGGCCGCGGGTGGTAGTCCCACATGGATTGGGTATGTTCATTCGATATTTCTGCCCGCAGTCTGGGTCGAAATTCGCGGCTAACTTACCTCGAACCCAGTGTCTGTGCTTTGTTCGCCTGCCTGGGCCTCGGTGTCGGCGGTAATCTGCCTGTTGATGGAGCTCTTTTCTTGGAATTCCTGCCTTTCGCTTCCGGAAATCTCTTGACCATGCTGAGTGTATGGTGGCCTGTTGGTCAGCTTATCGCTAGGTTGGTGCTGACCGAACCGTCGATTCATTTAAACTTAACAAATCATCTAATAAGCCGTTAGTCTTCTCGCCTGGGCCTTGATCCCGACTTATAGCTGCGCGGATGACCTGCCCTCCTGCAACGCAGTCGGTGACGGAGTCGCCTGCTGCGGCAAGGACAACAATATGGGCTGGAGATACTTCGTGCTCACCATGGGCGCCCTGACCTTTGTCATGTTTATCTGCCGCTTCTTCCTGTTCCATCTCTACGAGTCCCCCAAGTTCTTGCTCGCTCGTGGTCGTCAGGAGGAGGCCGTTGCTGCGGTCCACGGGATTGCCTACAAGAACAAAGCCAAGACCTGGCTCACCGTGGACATTCTCAATGAGATTGGTGGTTACCCCGAGGAGAACACCCCCCAAACCCTTAGCAACAAGCAAATTGTCGAGAGATACCTGTCCAAGTTCTCTCTGCAGCGCATCCGCCCCCTGTTCGCGACCAAGAAACTCGGCATCACCAGTAGGTTTCCTTCTCTCCAGAGTCAATATAAACCTTACGCTAACCTGTGCTTCTCCACAGCGGTCATCCTTTGGTTCTGCTGGACCACCATCGGAATGGGCTACCCCCTCTTCAACGCCTTCCTGCCCCAATACATCAAGAACGCCGGCGGCTCCACCGAGACCTCCACCTACATCACCTACCGCAACTACGCCATCACCTCCATCGTCGGCGTCCCGGGTTCCGTCCTGGCCTGCTACACCGTCGAGATCAAGTACGTCGGCCGCAGGGGCACAATGGTCATCTCGACGCTCATCACCGGCATCCTCCTCTTCTGCTTCACCGCCTCCACCGACTCCAACGTCCAGCTCGTCTGCACCTGCCTCGAGGCCTTCTTCCAGAATATCATGTACGGCGTCCTCTACGCCTACACCCCGGAGGTTTTCCCCGCCCCCAGCCGCGGCACGGGCACGGGCATCTCGAGCTGTCTGAACCGCATCGCGGGGCTCTGCGCGCCCCTCGTCGCCGTCTACGGCGGGAGCTCGAGCCCCCACGCCCCCATCTACGCGTCTGGAGCGCTGATCCTCGCGTCCTTTGTGGCCATGTGCTGTCTTCCGATCGAGACGATGGGGAAGCAGTCGCTATAAAGCATTTTTTTTCTTCCTTTTCTCTTCTCTTCTCTTCTCCACCTTGTGGAGTGTGATACCCTTACCAGAACATGGGCATGAAAGATGATAAATACCGAAAGTCGCACATATTCTCAGCCCGAAGAAAAAGAAAGGGAAAAAAAAAAAAAGTCTACATCCGTTGGTGTTTTCTCTAGCCGATGATACATGAATACCTCCGTGATGATGCCATGCTTGATGAGGTGGGCTTGGACATGTATACCCTGCTGTTTTGTTTATTCGGATGACTTTCCTTCTCCGTGGGTGAAAGTACCTATCCCGTCTCTCTGTAGTTAGCGGATGCGCAATCAATGTATATATCACCAAGTGATAAATATGGATATAAATATGGAGAGATATTCATGACTGCATTGGCCGTCAGATGAACGTTGTAATCACCATTGCCCCCTCTGCATATATCTCTATGTCTCTTTACATTCTACTTCTGTACACTTGGGTAGAACTGGCATCTACAAAGCAGTCAAGCAAGCAAGTACATATCCATCGGGCCAAGATTGGGGAGCATCGATGGCGGAGGGAAAAGGATCGAATAAAACGCAGGAACAACCCTGTTGGCCATGAGATATGGTGTTGTCATAAGCCCAAGATTCTCTTATGCATGAGTGACACAGGAAAAAAAAAAAAAAAAAAAGAAAAGTAAAAAACGGCATCAGGAGAGAAAGCAAAGAACAGCCAGCCAGCGGACGGTACATGTATGCTCCGGTCCAACGCAAACATAACAGAAACAGAGGTGACTATCATAAATCCATAACAGATGCAAAGTCATGACCCTGGCGCAAACCATAAGCCAGAGCGATATGTAAACTATGTGGAACCCATTACTCCCATCGAACGTACATGTTGGACACATCGTAACGGAGAGAAGGTATTAGACTGGATTCGGTTGAAGAGAAAAAAGAAAGAAAAGGAACAGGAAGCAAACGTAGGACGGCTTAGACGACAGCCTGGTCCTGTTGCCGTCTGCCTCTCTTTTCTAACAAAGTCGCATTGTCGAGGCTCAACTCGAACGGTTGCCGCGACTGCCGGCCGATGCTCTGCTTTGCGGCTGCCGCAACGTTCGCGCTATGTGTGCCATAGCCCTGCTGTCGAGGCTGGTGCGCCTGTCTAGCTTGAGCAGCGTGACTGGGCGCTCCCAAGTTCGTTGACCGTAATTTGGCCTCCATAGCTGCAACATCTCCCGCGTGCTGAGAGGCTTTGGGGATCTTCGCCGGGGGGTAGGCGTCGTTCTGGACGCGTTGTAATGTGATGTCATCCTCTTCGTCGTCATAGTCCTCGTTCAGGGGGTTAAGAGCCGACTGGAACCCGGTGGTCGGGTTGGCACCCCGGTATCCTTGTCGGAAATTCTTGCGCCGTTTACCTTCCTCTTCTTGCCGATGTACTGCGTAACCGACATCGAACACCTCTCGCAAGTTGATCGCACCGGGGGACCGGAAATCCATGGGACGATCCAAACCGGCGGAAGCCGGACCCAGTAACCGGGCACTTACAGGCGCGTAAGGTGCCTGATCGGCCGCTTGAGCATCCAGGGGCTGCTGCTTGGTTTGACGAGCAGCGAGTGGGGTGGCAAGCGGGGGCGCATCGTCGGCTGCTTCGGTCGCTTCATCTGTCTGACGGATCCACGGGTGAGCGAGGAACTGCTTGATACTATACCGCTTCTCGGGGTCGACGGTCAGAAGATGCGAGATGAGATCCTGAGCCGATTTGGAGATGTCGTCCCACCATGGCGACAAGAAGGTGTACTGGCCCCGCGCGACCTTCTCGGTGAGAACCTGAATACTTTCGTCGTAAAACGGAGGAAAACCACAGAGAAGGGTGTAGAGGACACAGCCAAGGGCCCACATGTCGACGCTCTTGGAATACCGTTCGTCCTTGACGATCTCGGGCGCTGTATAGCCGACGGTACCACAAGGGGTCATAGTCTGACTATCCCAGATGACTTTAGACAAACCAAAGTCGGCAATTTTGATCGTGCCTATCCCACCGGCTCCAACGCCAGGAACGAATTCGCCTTCATCCACCTTCTCCTCATCTCCGGGCTGGACCGGCCTGGGGTGCTTACTCGGCACGAAGGGTATAGGGTAGAACAAGAGATTTTCTGGCTTGATGTCACTGGAGCAAGATAGGATCAGTTTTCTTGCTTTCCTGTTGTTACACACAGAAGCAGGGTTTGAGGATACGTACCGATGAACAACACCCGAAGTCTCATGAAGATACTCGATGGCTTTAGCGACCTGGATGATGACGTGACGGCTGAGGTCTTCACTGAAATAGGTCAAGCGCACAATCTGATGGAACAGTTCGCCCCCTGGACACAGTTCCAGAACGATATAATAGTACTGGCGCGACTCGGAGAATTCGATCAGTTTGACAATATTGGGGTGATCGAGTTGTCGCATGATCTGGACCTCTTTCAAGATGTTCGCGCGCTGCAGCATATGTTAGCATATTCCGCTACCGATTGTTCCTGAGTGTTGGGGGATCAAAGGAAGGGACGGTGTGAAGGGAAAGGGCGATGGTAAAGGGAGAAGAAAAGGTGCCGCGAGTAGGATTTGGGAGATGAATTGCGCACCTCCGCAGCTTTTGGTTTCTTCCTGAAATCCGGATGAAGATGGGCGTCGTGCTAAGAGAAGAAGAGAGATTGGCGAAATGTCTTTTGAGTAGAGCGACAGACCATAGAAAAGCGCAAACGCAAGAAACAGAGATAGAGA